AGAGAGAGAGAGAGAGAGAGAGAGAGAGAGAGAGAGAGAGAGAGAGAGAGAGAGAGAAAGGAAGGGAGCAAGGGAGGGACTGCTTTACACACCAGTTGAATGCAAGTAGGCCAGCTGTCGTTGCAATCAGAGGCAACATTAAATAGATAGAGAACAAATGAGCTTGCTCGAGCTCATCTGGGAGAGGGTGCTGCACTCCAGGTATACCGCCAAGCTGGGACAAGTTATGAACCAGAACCTGGCATAAGCAAGAACCGGCAGGACGAACCAAAAACAAAACCAACCAAACAAGCGAAACCAGATTCAAGTTCATCAAACCAAAAGTCACCAAACAAGATGATGAAACCAGAAAAGAACCAAAAACTGAAACAGATCGAAGCAAGTAAGATTACCCAAAAAAAAAAACAACGGCAGACCGACTTGCACCAAACTAAACCAAAGTACAACAAACTAAACCAAACCACATGACACCAGACAGTGCAGAGAAAACCACAGTCGAAACAAAAATCAAACCAGGGCAAATCAGATTAAAACAAAAACAGGAAAATTCAAAATTATTCAAAAATACTAGAACCAATCTGATGAGCCCAAAACGTGCTCAAGCAGACAAGGAGGAAAAAAGAGAAAAAACGACCAATGAAACAAACCACACCAAGCCAGACGAAAAAGAGAGGACACGATCAAACCAAACCAGACCAGATCTTTTTTTTTGGGTTGGGTTGGGGGGGGGGGAATTGCACCTGCACCCCATTTAAAAGATGGGAATACCCGCTATTCCCAGTCCAGCACCCGACTTGCATCTATACCCAGACCCTGTCCAACTTTAGGTAATACCCTACTTTTCCCATGCGCCAACTGACACGGGTACCCAGTCCCACAGGCCCTTGGTTGGGAAGCGCAAAATTATGCTTATGCCCAGGAACAGGGCAGAGCAAAATTGGGTATGCACTGTGCAGTACTATGCACATAATTTTCCAGAGCACGAGAGTAATTTGAGCATTCCAGTAGTTGGGTTTAACACTATAACTGCAATTTGCTGGTATCAACCTTGGTCCACCTCGGTCTCAGGATGCAAATAATATCTGCAGGCCAGGGTACACAAGCAAGTTGGGCGCTGGAAATGTGTATAGCACGTATTTCCATCTTTAAATGGGGTACAGAATCTACAGATACAATCTTCCCTTCTTTTTCTTTACACCATTACATTCAGGTTTGGATGCTCAACAAAACTTTGCAACATTTCAACAAACGATAAAAATAAAAAAATAAAAAATAAAAAAACTCTAGAAACACGAGTCAACATTTTTCCTCGATTCCTGGAAACTCGGCAAACAATCCAAAACACAGTAACACACAAAGTTCAAAAGATGACAGACTTCGCCCAGAAGGGAGAGAGTTGCAGTTGGAGGTAGGGAGGGAGGGAGGGAGGGAGGGAGGGAGGGACTCGTACTATCTTAGTAAAATCGATGACAAGCTGCATGACAGGAATTCTGTCCACCGTCAGATTACAGCATAGCCTCACAACGACGACAATAACAACAACAACAAAAACCAATGCATCTAACTATGTACCCGAATATCGTCATAGAGTATAGTACTATATATGGTCAAACAGAACTGCCCGGTAAACCGCAGGCAGAGAGCGAGAAGAGGACAACAAACGAGCGGCTGTGACAAACTGTTTTGTTGGAGTTTCACCGACTCGTCAAGAGGCCGAATATATAGTTAGGAGATCAATGAGAGTCGTCCTCACCGCACTGGCTAGGATAACAGTTTGTCCAGCTTCAAGGCCATTAACGCCTGCAAAAATGTTCACCGAGTTTGTGCAGAACACTGCCAGAAGTCCCATGTACAATTTATACACCCATCCTGCTCCAAACAAGTGGCCATCACCACCACCAACACCACACACACGAATACCACCACCACAGCAACATCCCACAGAGGGTCCCATGGAGGGGGTCTCATGGAAGTAAGTGCTCTGCAATCATTTGGACGATCAATAAGTTGCCACATCATTATTGCAATAGCACCCTCCCTTTTGCCCACTCCACTCGAAAAAGCATAAAGTGAAATGTGATTGTAATCGTCATTAGCACTATGGTCGTCTCCTGATAAATATAACACAGAGGGAGTTATGGTATCTGTGTGTGTGTGCAAAATCCCGTGCAGCTGGAGAGAGAGAGGGAGAGAGAGAGAGATAGCTGCCACCCGTGTGTTCTATTTGAATAGAACACCCATCTGTGCGAATAGAACATGAGTGCTTACTATTCGAATAGAACATACGTGCATACTATTTCAAAGTGCGTACTATTTGGATTTCCAGGGGCGACTTTGAGAAATGGACTATTCCAGGGGAAGTTGAATAGTACATACGTGCGTTTTATTCGGGGGAAGACTGAAGGAAGATTGTCACGCCCAGCCGGGCCTGCCCGGCCAGGCACCCAGGCATGACGCCCGGGATGCCCATGCAGGTGAATAAGTGGGATCAAAAATATATTTTTTATTTCTTTGGCGGTGTGGGTTTTCCGTGCATGCCCAGAGGAGTCCAAGTTCTGGCTCTTTTCGTTTTTTGAGGGTTGGCTGTCAAAAGGGGGGGGAAGGGGGATATAAATTGGTTTCAAAGGGGCCTTCGTCTGATTCTGTCATTTGCCTTTTTATCTTAAAGTCAGTGAGGAACTCTGATGTGACCCTCGTCCAGAAGTCGTTGGCAAAACTTTGCATTGCAATTCTACACAACATTTATTTTTCCGGAATTTTATTATTATTTTTTTTTTTTTTGGTTGGGGGGGGGGTGTTTCTGGTGGTGTCCGGAATGCTGCCCGGGGTAATGCCTGGCTGGGCCGCCCAGAAAACCCCCCTAGGATTGTGCGTGCAAAATCCCGTGCACAACTGTCAGCCCCCTCTCTGCTACCAAGTTAATTTTTTAAATGATGGACTCCTTTTGTGAGAAAGTCAAAGCACTTATGTATTTCACTGCACTTTTGAGATGGGAAGAGCAACTCCAGATTTGCCCCGCTAATAACATAACAGATACTGCATGAGACCCACAATAACTGGGATGCAAGCAAGGAAAGTTCATGCCCTGGAGAGAGAGAGAGAGAGAGAGAGAGAGAGAGAGAGAGAGAGAGAGAGAGAGAGAGAGAGAGAGAGAGAGAGAGAGAGAGAGAGAGAGAGTCATGCT